TCATTCATGGAGTGAAATTTAGTAGCATCTGTTACTGTTTCTCTATTACATAGGCGGTCTAATATATTAAATTTTGTTTCTAAAGAAATAACTTTTCTTTTTCTTTTTTTTTCCAAATCTTTTGGCATTATAAAAACCTTCAAAAAATTACATAAATTATAAAGTGCCACAAAAAGTATAAATGTTAAAAATTTACCAGTAAACATTCAAATATGTAGCTAAAATTAAGTAAGCTTTGTTGCTAAATACTGATACTGCACTAGTTCACCTGAACCAAATAGCTTTGCTGTCGTGAAATACGTACATATTACGGGGATCCTCATCCTTGTTGTTGCCATCAGTGTTACCAAAGGAATGAGATTCAAAAATGACTTCAAATATATATATTTGTGTATATGCAGCCGAATATACATTTATACCAAGTTTTTGAAATCCGTTAATTTTTAAACTGTGTAAAAGCAAAATCGTGTAAAACGAGTACCGTATAAATCGAGGGATAGGTGTACATTGCTTACAACACCTCACTTTTCAAATAATACATGATGCTTATAATGCTAAAAAGTATCTCGAATGCTTGCTTTTTGGATGACAATGATTTTTACAATGCATTAATATTATAAAGTATGTCATTTGTTACTTATTTTTACAATCTAATAATAATGCAAATGCTTTTATATATTTATATTTTATATTTATATGCATTATATAATATATGGCAAAACAAAAAATGCGGAGAAACCACAAACTATTCTTATGCCAAAGAGTGTCAGAGCTATATGAGCTAAACATAACAGATTGATTACAAATAGCTCCAACAAGATGGGTAGTAGTACACAGCATAAATATCAATGGTAGCGTTTTGATGGTTGTTTATCAACTGTGTTATTTCAAAGAACAATGTATCTGAGTGGCTCACAATGTTAATTTCACAGCATTTCTTTTGTGGGTTCATTTTAAGAGCAAGGTTTATTGTACATTACCTGCTGCAACAGAATAATGTAAGGCAAAAATATACAAGAGGAAATTGCAGGATTCCTGGTGTAGTGTTATGTTGCTCATGCACAGTGTTTCTCATGGACTGCAGGGATGTCTTCACAGAGATGACACTCATCTCTCACTTCTTGCCTTTAAAATAAAACAACACAGTATTATATTCAATGTGGAATGCTTAATACAGTTAAATGACTGTGCTTCAAAAGTATGAGTTCTCTTTTATTAATCCTCATTCCAAAACTTCCTATTCGTTTTGAGTCATGTGAGTCGTAATTCCTGCATTCTAGTTTCTTTTATTTAAAAGTTTGGTTTCAATTTTACTTTTTTTTTTATTTGCTGTGCATTGTAAAAATGTTTCCGTGTGAATTTAAATATGTGCAGCATTATTATAAATGTTTTGAATTTAGGTAATTTGCATCTGTGTGCATGGGAAGTAAGGCTCCTTACAGACAGTGGTATAAATGTCAAAATTGCTTTAAGCAGAGCTCCGTTGCTAGGTAACAAGACCTTGCTATGTCACAAGACCTAGTTTTGGAGTTTTGGTATAAAGTTCGAAGTTTTCATCTTTATGCCAACTTGGTATATGAGTCGATCAATTAGAGTGAACATGCGAATCCTATTGAGCAGGAAAGCTGTAAATACATTTACGCATATGCAAATTTAGCTTCTCTAATTGGCTCTAATTATTGTTAGATTATAAAAATAACTAATAAGTGACAAACTTTATAATATTATTGCATTATAAAATTCATTATCGTCCAAAAAGCAAACATTCGAGATGATATTTTTTAGCATTATAAGCATCATGTATTATTTGAAAGGTGAGGTGTTGTAAGAACTATACATCTATCCCTCAATTTTTATGGTACTCGTTTCACGCGATTTCGGTTTTACACAGTTTAAAAATTAATGGGTTTCAAAAACTTGGTATAAATATATATTCGGCTGCATATACACAAATACATATATTTGAAGTCATTTTTGAATCTCATTCCTTTGGTAAAACCATTGGAGTAACGAGCATAACTGGCGCCCGGGGAAAAATACCTTTCTGGCACCATCCTTTCCCCCAAAAAAAAACACAGTGATATGATGAAAATGTTGTTTGGAAACCATTTGATGCCCATCTGCAAGCGGTGCATGAGGCATCATATATCACCTTGCCCCCCTCGCTATGCCACTGGGTAAAACTGGTGGCAACAACAAGGATGAGGATGTTGTGAAATAATATGTAAATGTATTTCATGACAGCAAAGCTATTTGGTTCAGGTGAACTAGTGCAGTATCAGTATTTAGCAACAAAGCTTGCATCATTTTTAGCCACATATTTGAATATTTACTGGTAAATTTTTAACATTTATATTTTTTGTGGCATTTTTATAATTTACCCCGTCTTGCAAGTGTGAACGGAACTCCCACATTTTGTGCCTCTATGACATTTATATCACTGTCTGAATGTAGCTGAAAAGCACTTGTGCAGTTTCAGAAAATTTAATGTGTATAATTTAAAAAAAAAAAGAAAGTTTCTTGGAGTAACTGGAGATAAAAGTGAAACCTTAGTTTGTGAATTTAATTTCATTCGGGAGGTCTCTCATAAATCAAAATTATTTCGCCCTTACATGTTTGTGTAAAATAAATTAATTAATTTATGGACCTCAGTTGATTACTTATTTCAACTTTCCAACATTATTTTATGTACAGGTTCATCACACAAAACAATGGAAACACCCTCCCCAAATAAACAAATATTCATATGCTATAGTTTGCTACTGCCTTATCAGGGTGCTATCTTTAAGTAAAATCTTTGCATCTTCTTCCATTGTGCAAATATCTTCATGGGAACTAGAATCATCTTTCTTTCCTTCCTTTTCCTCAGAATACATTTTTTTTTCAACCACATTTTGTTGCTGTTTCTGCAGCTGTTGCAGTTCTTTCTTTTTAAACTATTTTTATATAGTCCTATAGTAACTCCTCCATATATCATTGTTAACTTCCAAGCTCAAACCTTCAGACATAGTATTGTTGATTCTGCCTGCAATATAATCTGGCCATAAATTTTTCCAAACTAAATTCATGGTCCTCTCAGTCACTAACTGTCACACTTTATTATTTAGAACTAAATAAGTGAAACTATTTTATAGTGTTTCAGGAAGTCAGGGTGTATTATGTAGCACAGATTATCTCAAAATACCTTTGAAATTCATTTCTTGCTGACTTAAGTATTTGTAACTTAAGACACCATTTGTCATCAAAGAATTTTTTTTTTTCATTGTTAATTTGTTCATGCACAAATTGTTTTTGATTTGATGTTCCACTGTATTTCAGAGAACACAGATTCTTGCTTAAAAATTGATGTAATACGAGTGTTATTTGAAGTCCTTAAGTGTGGAAATAATATTTATAATTATTATGTGTTTATTTGTTTTAGGTAACTGTATCTTATGTAGATATAAAAAACTAAAAATGTGTGTAAAGAAGTTCTGTATGAAAAGAGCATTTTATCTCTTCACATCTTTTAGATAGGAGTAACTTAAAGTATGTAGAAAATTTGTAAGCATTTTGTTTTTTGTGAAAATTAATGTCAAAATCAATTATAAGAATAAATAAATCAGTTGTAAGAATGTTATAAAAATAAAAAATATATTGACTCTTTAATAATGAAATAAAATTAAGCATTTATCACAGAAATAAAATGAGGTCATACGAATCTGTACATTATCTGGCAATTATATATCACTTAAAATAAAATATAAATGTTCTGTTATTTAGTATTGACCACTGGAAGTCTGAAAGATGATCCAAACCAAAAAAGTATTCCAGTGATTGTGTAATTTACTGCAGATAAAATTCTTTAAATAGCAAAAAGTTTTTAGAAAATGCCATTTGTGTTTCCATATTTCAGTGAAGTAAATATTCTAAAAAGAAACAGATATGATTTTCTGAAATTGCTTCCATTTTAAAGGCTATTATAATTTGCATACTTTTTGTTATACCAGTTTTTCATACATTTATGATAATTATTTATAGTTCTAAATATTCGTTTTAATTTTTAAAGACCTAGAATAGTTATATTTATGAAAATGTTAAAAGAATTTAATAGAAGTAAGAATTTCTGAGTTGAATTTCTCAATATCGTAGAAAATTGAACAAATGAAAACTTTCGTAATTACTTTGAGGAATCTTTAGAAATGAATGAATAATGTTAGAAGTAACTGTATAACGATCAATGGCAAAACAGAAAATTCAGGAAGTTCAGATTGCTTTTGGGAAATTATTAAGATAACCTATTGCTCATTTGAATAAAGATCATCCAAAAGTAAAAATCAGAGTCATAGCTAGTGTTTTCAGCACCGGGGACAACTGAAGATTTTACAACCCGTCCTATTTGCCAAGAATGGAAATCACTTAATTCTAAAATTTTGTAACATCAATTTGGCACCCCCATTTATGCTGTGCCCTGGAACAGATGCCCCATATAGCCATGTCCTTGAGTAAGATCATTTCATTCTTCTTTAGACAAACATTATAAATTTGTTAAAAGTATATCTCTTTACCTTTTATGTGAATGCAATTTAAATTAGCATATCATAGCAAATTTTGGTGTATTATACACATCATAAAGCATTTAAGGGGGGGAGGAGAACTTAGTTTTGCCATGATGTAATAATTTTTCAGTATGTTAAAAATGGTATAGATAGCTTTTAAATAAAAGTAATAAATTCAATAAACTCATAAACTCAATTTATTTTTACTCATTTCAGTGACAAAACTTATTATTTTTAACCATAGTGTAAGGTCTCAAAGAATATGATTTTTAATTTTGATGTAACAAAAAAAATCATGCTTTTACTGGTACTAAAACTGAGAAAGCCTATTTCTGTATTCTTATAATAGATAAATATCCGGAATTAAATTTTGGAAAAAAAAAAAAAAAGAAAGCCCTTTTTCACGAAAAAAAATCATTTCTGCGAATTAATAGTTATAGTGAATTAAAATTTATAAATCATTTTCGTTTTTTTGCAATATAAACACATTTAATTAATATAACTGAAGAAGTATTCATAAAAACATTTTAGAATAAATAATAAAGTATAATTATTTGTAAAAAATAATCAAACATATTAAATTTTTCTGGAAACCTTTGGGTAAGCTGGAGTTCTTCAATTAATGGAATATTAATATTTATCAACTAAAGTTGTTTAATCATGAAGCTTTATTGAAAATATTGTATGTGTAAAGAACATCATGAAAAAAAAAAAAAAAAAAAAAAAAAACTTAAAAAAAAAAAAAAAAAAAAAAAGAACTCATGGGTGCTCCTATTACCTCTCTGCCTCCACTCGCGTCTGCAGTAAACAAGAGATCCATTGTTATTGTTAACAATTAGCCGAAATCCGAGTATGTAATCTGTGCGGCGAAAACACCATTTTTTTGTATTGCAAAAGATGCGTTTCTAAGAATAATGAAAAATGTAATTTAAAATTGCCTTTGACTTACGACATCTATAGGGTGAATCTTAAAACTAGCGGTTTTTTTTAGGGGGGGGCTGTTATTACTAGGTTTCGTTTTTTCGCGAACATTTTTCTTTTTTGATGGACGGCGTCCAAGACAGCGCTGAGGTTTGCCTCACTTCGCTTCGCGAGCGAGATCCCTCCCTTTGTGCAGCCGTTGGATGTAGCAGTAGATTTATTCTTGTCAGCTGAGAATTTTATCCCATCCCACCACTACTCTAGAAGTAAATTAGAGACGCCCACCGGTTTCCGCGACATGCCGAAAGTTATTTTTTCACTAAAATTGCCCACCGCAAACGCCCGTGAGCGAAATTTAAATCCAGTGGGATTTGTATCCCGCGCAATTAGTGAAGTGTGGGACTGGGAGGAGCATCTGTCGCATACAAGCGACCACTCTATTCACGCTCGGTGTCAGGAAAGCTGAGTGCCGCTGGAGGACGACCCAAGGATGTAGACGAGCTCCGTGTGGGATAACTGTCCTGTTTCATTTCCAGTTTAGCTAATCCAAATTCATTTGTTTAAAATTTACGGGTGATATCTGTTTTCGTACGAATAAGAGGTCTAATGTTATAAGTTCTATTTTTAATCAATTATAAATGGGAAAAGTTTTGAAATTCTGTTTGGTTACACTTGTAAGGAATTAGATAATAGTGACCCTTTCGGTTCTCATATGACGTCAGACGCGTCAATTCTGGGGTGGGCCATAGTCAGCGATAATTGACGCCGCCATTTTTGACGAAGACTGACACATAGGTAAGCTGCCACTCAAGTGGTCCAATCTATCGGCTCTTGAGCTATCTTGTTAAACTTTTCGATGCGGTTGGTTATAGGTATATGTTTGAAAATCAATTGATTTTAACCTATAAAAGAAAATTTGTGGTTTTGATAAGATAAAATTAATATTTCAAATAATCGATAAGGAGAGATATTTGTATAGCGGTCTTTCTTTGAATAGTAAGACCGAAGAAAAATAATAATAATAAAAAAAAAAAACGCCGCTTATTTCATTTTGGACAGCTTTTCGTCAATCTTGAAATGTTTTTTTCATCAAGTTCCCGCGTGTTTTATTAGCATTATGTAATTTTTAATCAATTTAATAACTAAAAAAAATGAACCTTTTTGAAGTATCCTGCGTTTGTTGGGAAACTATATATGTATAGCGCAATTGATATAATGAACGGTAAGGAATTTCTTTTTAATTTAATGAATTTATTATTTGATATATTAGGGCTGGAAAAAAATTATTAGTTATGCATTTGTTTATGCGTAGTTTTTGTAAATTACAGAAAGTATTTTAAATAATTTGCATTATGCAATACTGAGTTAAAGATATGAAAATATTGATTTAATTTGTGGGTGCACAATAATGCTTTCAATTTTAGAAAATGAAATAAGTAACTCATGTTTTTTTTTTTCGTTTTGACCTTTGTTTTTCTTAATTCCCACATATATTAAGTTAAAAATTAGAGCGTGTAAAAGATTTTAGAATTTTCTTTTACATGTACTATTATGATATAAAAATTTTGTGTGTATGTGTATATGAAACAATCATTAATTCTGTGGGGATATGCCTTCCCCCCCCATTCTGAAAATTACATGTTAATTCAGAAATATAGTTAGTTTTTGATTAGATAATTCTAATGCAATTGTTTTCAGTTGCCAAGTATGAAAGTTTAATCAACTTTGATTTTATATTACAAGTTAGAAAAGAATTTTGGTACTTTTCTGTTTCGGAGATCAGATTCTGAAATGAATGAATATGTGCATGTATATATTTATATATGTATGAATTTAAAAAGCATTCTCTATTCGTAAAAAGCAAATTTAAAGTTAATTAAATTTTAAATGAAATTGAATTACAAATAAGTGATTAATAATTTTAATTTAACTTTACTATATTCTTTTGAAACAATTTTATAGTATGTGTATGTGTGTGTTCGTGTGTATACACAGACATATATTCACATACATTCATTTCTAAATCCGGTCCTAATAACAGAAAAGTACCCGGAATTGCATTATTAGACATCTAAATTTAGCAATTCGTTTCTTGAGAATAAATGCATAAAAAATATTTCAGCAATTTTGGATAAAAGGTGAAATGATAATAAGAGTATTAAAATCTTTAATTGAAATAATTAACTACATCTTTTAAAAATTATCATTGTTCATACTGATCAATGTGATAAAACTAGTCAGAATTATTAGGCTATGCTGGCTGTATATATGTCCTTTTTCAAAATTCTTATACAGATAAAATAGTAAAAGTTATATTTACAGTTTGTGATTTTTTTATATGATTATAATTAGAAAACAACAGCATATAAATCTTAGCCTTAAAAGTAAATCACATAAAATGTATGACCAAATGATTAAGTTTATTTGTATAACTTTGGAAATGTTTAGTTTGAAAACATACAAAGGGATCATTTAAATAAAAATAAATAAATCATAAAAGGAAGTTCACTTTTATGGATTTGATGTTCAAAAGAAGTTCATTAATCCAAGGAAATCTTGATAGAAGAAACAGTAAAGGAATTTACAGAAACTAAAGGTTTTTGGTTTTACTAGATTAATTTCCAGATATAGTCACCAAAAGCAATTATCAGTCAACGTCTTATTTGTTTCCGAAGTTTCTGAAATGATATGTGAGCCTGCTTTCTTCTTTTGAGATTCATAACAAATCAGGATAAAGTAAGAGAATATGTAACTGTACAAATCTGGCATAAATTTAGTACATTTACTTGATTAAAAAATGAGAAACTTTTGGGAGTGGGGTTTAAATGCATAGTACAGATATTCAAAGATATTTTTATAATTTAAATCTTTGTGAATTTTTTATCTCATACTTTTGAATTTAGATGTAAATAATGCAGCTAAATGTAATATATGCATTCACTATGTCTTCCCTTCATATATCATGATCCTAAATTTTTTTTAGATATGATTTAAAGATTTTAATATTACTTGTGTAGTTCTCCTTCCACAATAATGACAAGTTTTTGGAGTTTTTCAAACTGGTATTGTTTGCATATACCTTTCAAGGCCATTTATTCAAACCTCAAAATCCTAGATAAGAATGCTGCCTACATACGATCAAGTCATAAATTTACAACTCCTTTTTTCGTGGGGAAAGCTGAAAAGGAGGGGATAATCCTGCTCGAGATTGTGAGAAAATGTGGGGCATCATTTAAACATCTAACTTGCATTCAGTTTTATATAGAGGAAAATACAAATTGAATTCTTTGAATGAATGCAATTTTGTAAAATGACAATGTATTATTGAACAATAACTGTGAGGCAAACAACTATAAGAATAGAAAGACAAATATTTATTACATCAACGAATTTGTTGTAAATATTGAGTTTTGCATTTAAAATGCTATGTTACATGTATGCTAAGTATCTGAGTATCTGAAAAAATAGTCTTAACTCAAATGGCTTTCAACCTTTTCACATCTAAGGACTGCTTTTCAATTACGTTATGGTTGCCGCTTTTTTGGTTAATTTTCTAATGCCATAAACATTAAATTGCTTTTATTTGACTGGAAATAAGTCAGATGCTGTTTGAATAGTATTGTATAGAATGTGTGCTGCACAACCTACTCGAATATTTTTTTTTTGTTCAAACATTCATTAAATTTCGTAAAAACATTATTCATGCCTCTTCTAGCTTTTCCACCAAAATTTGCATTAGTGTAAATAATATAATTATTGCCTCACAATAGCCAATAATTTTATTGTTAAAATTATTCTTTTTAAAAATAGTACTTATCAAATCAAAAATTATTTGTGAAATTTTACCCGGCAGCCGCCCAGACGGTATAGTGGTTAGGGAAGCCTCACTGCGATACCGAAGGGCCTGGGTTTGAATCCCGGAGAAGGCACAGTTGTAACTGTCCATCCCTTCTTCCCTTGGGGGTTGACTCAGAGAATTCCTGGGAAGTACTGGCTAGGATCTGTACTTAGACAGTCTCAACCATGAGAGTATAAAATCAGTCTTCACAGGCTGTGCCTGAGTTTACTCGAGATGTTGTAGGCTAGGTAGGGACCGTACTGGTACCGTCTCGTCTTCCCCTGGGGCATGAGGTTGCAACATTGTAGATGAATAAGTGGGCAGGATGGTACTTAATTCCAATTGGCAATGTACCTTAGGACAGAAGTTGTCCCGTCACAAGAGTTGTCCATCCCTTCATAGGAGGCAATAGTGACCCACCTAATTAGGTGTCTCCATAATAAAGAGACCACCACATCTGGCCTTACTATAGATTAATAGACTCTGTTAGAAGACTATAACTGTTCAAAAATCTGCCATTGGAAAAAAAAAAAAAAAAAAAAAAGAAAAGGTCCACCCGGCAATGAAACAAAATCTAATATTCTAAATTTTAATTCCTGTTTCTGGATCAAAAATTATAACAATTGTGGGAAATAGTTTTAAAGCTTTATAGTTGGAAGTATCATAATAAATTGGATATAAATATGCATTTATCTAATTCTTTCTGCAATCATGAAAAACATTACAAATAATTGCTTCGATTTTTGTCCTTGCATGTGCAAATTTTTTGTCGTACAATGTTTTGATCATTTGCGATGTACAATCAATTGATCTGAAATTTGATTGTGGTTTATGGTGTGGAAAGCAAATAGCCCTTCAGCTAATGCTAGCTGTTCCTCGATTAACAATACATATTTCTTGACAAGACGTAACGACAATGATCGAACACCACCAAGTAAATCTAACTCGTTACATCACCTAATTTAGTTTACTCTGCATGCATTTTATGTGTTTTTAATTTCTTTATATTCACTATAATAATAATAAATAATAGGTAATATATTTTTACGATACATTTAAAATAAGAAATGCAGATGTATTCTAAAGAGCGGGACATTTTTAAAAATCGGCGGGATACGGGACAGTCCTCCAAAAAGTGTGACTGTCCCACCAGAATCAGGACGTGTGGTCACTTTACTGTTATTAAATCTTTATTTTTAAAATTAGAAGTGCCAAAGCCCTAGAAGAGACCATTAGGAAAGAGGATAAATAATAAATAATTAAAATTAAACAAGATGCAAAAGGAATTAATAAAAATCATTATGTTAAATTAAGGATGAAAGGTTAATTAATAAAACACCAGAATTACCATATTTTGTGTTCTGGCTAAGTTACTGTTTCACTCAAAAAATTGAGATCTGTGGCTGAATTCAAGCCATGTTTAATATTTTAGTACATTATTTCATGCTATGCATTTTTTATAATTGGAGTTAGTTTGATTTTCAAATTTTTTATTTACAAACTTGTGAACCTTTCATTAAGCAGTAAGCATAGCAGACGCAATCACAGTAGTTCTGGTAGGTCAAAATCAGTAGTTTCATTTTTCCAGAAAAAAGGTCTGAAATTTATGCAAGTTTTGTTTAGATGTCATGCTGTATATTGCGTTAGAGAAATATATGCTCAGTAAGAACAAATTTATATAGTTAGGTAAAATTTGTGTAGATTACTGTACTAACATGATATCAAAATGCATAAAATTGTTTATATGTAAACTTATCTGTACTGTATTTTGGATTACATCACTATAAAGTGGGTGCTAACAATGTCTCCCAACACCTGTAGTATAATGGGTTTTTTTTATTGTGTTAATAACTGAACCTTTAATAATTCTGATTATGTGTGCTTTTATGTTTATGTGTATAGATAGAAAACTTCATCATAATTTTGAGTATAAATATTTATCCTATATACTTACTGTGCTTTTCATAAGAATTTATAATTATTTATTAATGGTAATTCTTTTTTTTTTTTTTTTTTTTATGTTTACTTTTATGTATTTCAATTGATTTTTTAGTTTGTTTTTACCAAGTATGCAGGAACCTTCCCCTGGAGGTGGGAAAACAGTGACTGGAATAAATCCTGGTATCTCAGATTTTCGAGACTCTAACATTTCAATGATTGGACAGTGTATGGATGTTTCTGAAGCCACCTTGGCCAGTGGTGGCCAGGGAATGGTTGTTCCTCCTCAAAATGTTCCTTCGGATCCACAAACACAAGCTCAATTTGAAGCTGATAAAAGAGCTGTATATAAGTATGACATATTTATTTATTGATGGCTTTTATTAAAGAAACATAAAATGAATTTTTACTATTTGCATATTAACTAATACCTGACATTTCTGTGGTACCACAAGCAATAACATATGGCTAACTGCATATTTCACTTCTGCTACCACATATAGTTATAGTCTGTTACCTTAAAATAGGCATTCCAAGGATGTTTCCTCTACCTAGCTTGCCTTGTAACCACAGTAAAGATATCTGATAGAGGTGATCGAGTTGGTTTTTTATTTCTTCCCCCTCTTTGTGCTAAATTTCTATTTAGCCTGCTTTGGTTTGTAAAAAGTGCACAAATGGATGCTGACTAGAACTACAGTCTTGGATGATGAAGCAAAAATAAGTGTTGTGCGTGATGATAACAAGCATTGTGAGTAGTAAACAAAAATTGTTGGAAAGACTTCCAAGTGTCTGTTTTAAACTAACAGACCATATGTAGACAGCATTATCAAATCAGTGAGTTATATGGGCAGTTATAAAAGTAATCCATTTCAAGCCAATCCCTTCTTTCATTCTTGTAGTTTATCTGCATTTATTAATATTGCATTTTCATAATATGCTGTCTTGAATGATGCATATATATATATATATATATATATACTGTATGCAATTAACAAGTTTGGAACTACTCTGATATGCGCCCTCAAGTCGCCAAATTTCTCGCCAAATATTTTTGGCGAGAAACTTTACGCTGCCATATTACTATCTAAATTTTTTGTCTACATTTCGAACTTTTAGCCTAAAATGTCTCCAAAAACGCGGTTTTCGCACATGCAAAAACTACGTTTTGAACACACAATTTAGCTAAAAATCCGAAACAAAAACAAAAAATTTAGATAGCAAAAACGTAAAGTTTCTAACCAAAAATATTTGACAAGAATCCGTGTACACAGCGATATGTTTTAACTTAAAAAAATATCTACGAATGGCACAATGTAGGCAACGAACAAATCTACAAACTACGCACACCTCGCTTTAATAAATTAACACAACAACAATAAATTTCAAAGAATACCATGTACACAGCATCCTGTTTAAACTTTAAAAAAATTCTACGAATTGCACAATTTAGGCAAGGAAGGAATCTACGATCTACGCACTCCTCGCTTTAATAAAATAATGTAACAACAATAAATTTCAAATAATACCATGTACATAGCATTCTGTTTCAACTTTAAAAAACATCTACGAATTGTACAGTCTAGACACTAAACAACAAAATAAACTAAAATAAATTTCAAACAATTAAAAAAAAACAACAATAATGACAGAAATTCATACTAAAGAACCAATGAACATAACATTCTACAAAATAAGAACAAGAATAAAATAAAATGCACTTACCATGAATTAATGCGTTTTCGAATAGCAGAAATATAAATTTCATACCGCCTTTAACATGCCGCCACGTAATCACTATCGTATTTACATGACAGCCAGACACACTATCCAGAAAATTTATACTATGGTTCACAAATAAATAAAAAATCACAAATCCCTACTTCTATCATGCACTGCCATTAAAAATAATCTCCCAGACCCTCTTTCCACACTTCCAAATACCCACTACCCCTCAACAGGATAGCCACAATGATATTTCTTTTTGCTGAACTTCAATTCAACAACTACCATTTTATCTTTCCCTCCCATCTTCTCAGACACAGAGGCGAATCAACGAGCTCCAGCGAAAGATTTTTCAACGTCAACAAGGTTGCCATAGAATTCGCGCCATAAACCAGCGCAGAACACATATCGCCACATTTGGTAAAATTAGGGCGTATATTAGAGTTGTACCACAAGTTTTTTTTCACATTCTTTAGCATTAAACTTTAATATTGAAAACAGAAGGAAGCTTATAATTTCATGATAGGGCAAATCCCAGACATGCAGCATTAGGAATGAGGGAGGAAAAGAAACCAGCTAAAAAACAAATGCAACTAGGATAAATGTATAGTTAATAGAAGACGGCATCAATTTGTACTTGATTAACAAAAACACTGGAGTATCATTATTATCAAGTTACTGGCAATGGAAATGATATGTATTAGTTAATATATACTAAGTTTTTTACCATTCTGAAAACATAATTAAATGATGGCAATTGTCTTCTTTTAAGATGACCAATTCCACTGCAGACCAAAATTGCTTAGAACTATGACCCATATATAGAGCCATGAGTTATGGTTGTTAGGGAAGTTTCAGTGTATAAAATTCTATTTGTTTGTCTTTTTTCTTTTCTTTTCTTTTTTTTTTTTTTTTTAACTCAATTGCTTATTGAAAGAATTTGAAAATATGCAATTTACTTGCATATGAGTTCTCCTCAGGTATTTCCTTCTAACATTTTTAGCATATGTTTTAGAAATTTTTAAACTTTCAATTTAAAGTAGCAACATATAAGGTATAGATGGATGGCAGAGTATAAATCAAAAAGAATCATCCTGCTACAATAATTATAGCTAACAACTTAACTGTGCATATTTATGTGTGATACAGTATATAATCCATATCCAATGTGACTGATATGACAATATGGATAATATAGATTTTAAGTCCATTAGTGTTGAATGGCAATAGCTAAATGAAAACAATACTTTACCTCCTCAAAGGGGAAGCAGAGACTGAAAAGAATGAGGTCCAACAAATCTGGAGGCCAGGTGAGAGATAAATCGTTCATTTCTTTGGGTTGGATATGCATCATGTCTATTTATATTGTGTGAAAAGAAACTTGGGTAGTTAAAGATAGTTTCATGTGTTGCAAATTAAATATATGCCACTAGCAGCAGTTTGTGCTGTAATAATTTGCAACAGGAGGGTTGTTTTCAACTTATTCTGTTTGACATGTGAGTAGAAATAGCGGTGTCCGCCGATAACATCACGGCAAAAACATCGTGGAGAAAACAACGCAAGGCGAAAACGTCGTGCTACATAACATCGTGGGAGAAAACATCGCAGTTCTAAAACATTGTGGTACAAAACATCGTCGTAGAAAATAAAGCGGTTCAAAAACATCGCAGTTGAAAAACATCGTCGTCGAAAATATCGTGGTAAAAAATAAAGTATCTACAAATAATCATCGCATGACGATAACATCGCAGACATGCTTTTTTCAGGTTTTAATAATTGTAAATGGATATTCCCATAATGATTTGTGAGCGCAAGGTGTAAAGAAGGATAAATTTTACTTCCACATATTTTATTAACTAATAAATTTTTGCTGAAAACGTAAGAAGAAACTTAAGCATAGAAAATTAAATGTAACTTATAGATTATACTTTTCATGAAATATTACCAGTAAAAACTTTATAAAAATGATTTATTAATGGCCTTTGTTAGTTAACTATGTCGATTTAAAATTCTATTAAGTGCTATAAGTTGCATTAATTTTTTATGCTTAAGTTTCCTTTTTATTTTCTCAGCAAAAATTTATTAATTAATAAAAAATATGAAAGTAAAAATTATCCTTCTTTCCATCTTGCGTTCACAAATCATTATGGGAATATCCATTTACACTTATTAACGCATGCCTGAAAAAAGCATGTCTGCGATGTTATCGTCATGTGATGATTTGTAGATACTTTATTTTTTATCACGATGTTTTTAGACTGCGATGTTTTTTAACCGCTTTATTTTCGACGACGATGTTTTGTACCACGATGTTTTAGAACTGCGATGTTTTCTCTTTGCGATGTTTTCTCCCACGATGTTTTGTATCACGACCTTTTCGCCTTGCGTTGTTTTCTCCGCGACATTTTCGTCTGCGATGTTTTCGGCTGTAACCGAAATAGCAGTATTGAACATAACACTTGTATCTGATTTCATTGAAGTTATGAATATAATCATATTCGTGTATTTGCTTATATAGACTTTTTAATTGACTAACTTCTTTTTTTCATAAATAATATGCATAACCTAATTTTTCTGTCTAGATTGTCAAGAGAAAATTAATAAATAAATAGGGTAATTTTTTTATGTACTTGAAACTATATAATTTTTTAATAATGTAAAATAAGATGTAATTGATATGTTCTGTTCACCTTAAATTTGTATGTTCTTGCATTAAGTATATTTAATATTAACATCTGCTGTAATAGCATTTTAGCATTAAGGAAAAGTATGAACTGAACTGGCAATCATACTATCAGAATTATAAGTCCAGTTTTATATCCGTTAGAGAAATGCCTGTAGAAATGTTTCATTAATTAATAATTTGTGTAATGACACTGCGTTGTTTAGCTTTTTGAACTTGTTAAAAATAATATATGAAAGTTTTTTATTGGTGAATTAACAATCATGTGATATTTATATTTTAAATATGTATCTATTTTTTAGGCATCCTCTGTTTCCTTTGTTAGCTTTGTTATTTGAGAAATGTGAGCTAGCAACCCAAAGTGCTGAAGTCTCATCTTCTGAAAGTTTTAATATGGACATTCAAGCATTTGTGCAGCACCAAGAACGTGACAGGAAGCCCTTTTTTAGTGATGATCCTGATGTAGATAGTTTGGTATGGAGAGGACCAAACTGCCTTTTTTTATTTTTAAATGATTTTATTATTGAATTTTTTAAATATCTATGTGTTGATATATTTTAACTCTCATCAGATAATCTTGTGAGTCTTTATATCAGGAGTAATTTTTTAACAGAATTTTAATGTTTAGTTTAAGAACGTCACTTTATCAGTATTTCAGGATGCGTTCTATCCTAATTGGGAGTGCTTTCATTAACTGCACAATGTTAAATCAGTTGATGTTGTTAGCATAATGCATATCACAATGCTTTCTAACCGAAACAAATTGTAAAAATATGTAATTCAGCTATTCTTTCAGTTATGATAAGGCCTTTAAATTACTTTAATAAGAGGTGGTTTTTTTTTTTTTTTTTTTTTTTTTTAAAAAACTTTATTTTTCTTTTAATTATTTTTGGTAAAGAAATACAGAAAAGTTTTCATTTTAATCTTGTACACAGCTGTACAGTATAAAATATATTTAAAGTTTTTCTCATTGAAATAGGTTTCCTTCCTTACATTAGCTTAATTAAAAGTCTTTTCAAATATATGGTGGAACACTTTAAACCATCTCAATGATACTTTCTTTTTCATCCATAGTTTTATTGCCAACTTGTGATTAACTAGGATAATAGCAAGGGCAATGGCCAGGGTTAACTTAAAATAACAGATGTTCATAATTTACATGTACTTTCTAGCCGTTTGTTTTGGAGAATAAATTTATTGACATAAATTAAATCAGTATTCAAAATTATCTCTCTCTTTCAAGTGTGCTGTCACTCCATTTTCTGTTTCTTCCTTCACCTATGTTTCTTCAAGATGCACATGCAGTTTGTTTTTATTTAAATTACTTTTGTATTACGATAGGAATTAAGGTCAAACAGAAGATTAATGACTGATGCTTGGTTTATTTTTAGGCTTGAACCATTTGTTTTTAATGGGATAATTTAACAATATTAATGTATTCCTGAATACATATAATTAAATTATATACTGTAGTGGATAAAATTGTAATGTTGTTTATAAAAGCAACTCCAAAATATTCTCACATCATCTGCTATCACTGATGTTGGCCCACATATTTTTACTTTCCCATTTGTATTTTCTATACAGAATTTTGTTTTATGCTGATTGTTTATCATTGTAATTTTTCCATTATTTCAAAATAAATGAAATTAACCTTTTTTAGACACGGCACAGTTAATTCCTGATCTAATTAATCTATTCTTGTGTAATTGGTACTTCAACGTATTTCATTCGTGCTGCTTGTAATCGATTTATACGTATATTAAATCACTTTTTGATCTCTAACATCAAAAGAAGTAAGAATTCTGAATTCTGTGGTCTTCTGTCTTCCAAAAGGAATGAAATATTCCATTTGCCACTTTTACAGACATATAAATTTCAAGAACTTAATTCAAATTACATTAGAATATATTTTTTCCATTTATGTACATTATAATTTCATATTGTACAGTCAATTTTCTTCTAGCCATGCTTAAAGTGGTGTTTTTGTTTAGAAATATATTTTACTTTTCCACACCATATCGTAAATGTGCTAGAATTCAAAACTACATTGACTTAAACATTATCACAAAAACAGGGAATGGTTTTTAACTTTATACTGTTCTAAGAACAAGCCGTTGCTGTTACATATTTGAACAAAGAAATGTTTTTATTTTTTAAATCTTCCCAACTACTGGTTATGTCTGCTGAAGAGCCCAAACAGTAATTTCTGTTATAACCAGATACAGGTGGAAGGGGGTGGGACACCCAGAAATTCCTGTAATCAGATTTACAGGTATTGTCTTGTTGCACTAACTGTGCAGATCTACTCAGTTTTGAGAGAGAACACCTTGGGGGCTGATCCAACGGTCTCCCACCCATCTTTTCCTACCACCAAACTCTCGAGAGGTCTTTCAGCTCTGCATATATTTTGATTGTCCCTTTGTTGCACAGACACTATATGCTTACAGACATGTATGCCATCTCTGGGATTCAAACCTAGGCTCATCATTACAGCAATCAGCATCACTAATCACTATACTGGCTGGACAGTCCTGTGATAACCAGTAATACCACAGGAAGAAATATTGTGATCATATAGCATTAACTACTGACAATGAAAATTGCCACACCATGAAAACGGTATGTGACAAACATCGTATTTGCATGAGAGTTATTAAATGCTGGGATATGCAAGTGATTAGCATTCAAGTACATATACACTAAGCGGGCGTGAGTAACATCATCTACATTGTTTATAAATGGGAAGATTACACAGTTGATAATTTATTTGGAAATCACATTTGAATGTTGTTTGTTTGCTTAAAGGTCGTGTTATGCCTCGTGTAAGAAGGAGAAATGCCAGCATGTGCCAGAATTAGATCGTGACAGTATTATGGGCCGTCATGACTGAGGTTTATTATTCTGCATCATTTCTCCTCATTTTCATTGAAATCCCATGACTCTCAGGTGAATATGGAATTGATGGGTTCAGGAATGCCATGGCTGTGCAGGATCTCAGCAGCCTCAGTTTGCTAATGCCCAGAGGAAAGACATGGTCCTCTCATCCTTGCAAGAGTGTAAAGCTAGGTCTTGTACCCCAAGTCAGGGAACTGGCTTATTTGCCAGGACAACAAGTGTCGACATGGACAGTGTAATAATATCTGCAGGATCACAGACTTTCAGCATGGCAACCATTGTTTTGGCTTTCCTTGACTCTGCAACCAAGACAGGTGCTTGTACGGTGGTATGACGAAGATACTAGATACGGAGTGGCACGAGGTCATCTTTTCAGATCAATTCTGATTCATGCAATATCATGATGGATGTATCTGTGTGCAAAGACACCAAGGTAAACGATGTTGCCAGTTTATATTCGTCATCATTATATGGTCTCAGTACCTGGCTTGTTGGTGTGAGATACTGTTGTGTACACACCTGTTGTTTGAATAATCTGTAATGAATAATCTGTACACACCTCTTGTTTGAATAATCTATTTCATTTCTTCCAAGGCCTGTGTGATGCCATCTCTCAACAAAGATAATGCACAGTCACATGTTATCCCTGCTGTTCTGATCTCTTTCGATACAGAGGATGTTTAGCTGTTGCTCTGGCCAGCACGTTCTTCATATCTCTCACTCGCTGAAAACATTTGGTCATGGGTTGTCGAGTGACTTTGCATGCCGCCATTACAATTGATGAACTCTGGCATAAGAGGTGAAGTTGCATTAAGATTTTGCTATTTGTTTTCCTTACTGGTGTAGCACTTTTAATGGCCAGTAGTGTATATTATGTTATATTATACAGGGTGGTCAAAATAAAATATGCCTGGAAAGAAATTGGAATCCAGACATAGAATATACCCTTGTTCATGAATGGGAGAATTTCCCTTTATAGAAAATGCTTGAACTGGCCACTAGTGACATTGATGTAACCATCGGTTGCTGCCATGTGTCTGCACATGTTCACATGTGCCCGTGCTCATCTCTTGCATGCTCTGTCCCAAGTTCTTTGTTGTGTCATTACACTTGAGTGAATGAGAGTTGCAGGTGCTTTAGTGACCAGATGAATGTGACACAGAATGGTGTTTATGATAAAACAAGGTGTGTTTATTGTCAAATGTTATGCAAAGCATAATTTGTGGAAAACTTATGTGGAACTGGTTGCACGAGAGTTTAAGAATGGAAGTGTTTAGGCAAAATCTCCAGCAAAGTCTGAGTTAAGGAAAGCTTGGAACAAAATCTGACAACATTGCAATGCCATTTATCTACACAAGCAGGTATTAAGAGATCATTGTGTCAAAACATTATCAAAAGGGACCTGCATTCGTATCCTTACAGATTTACAATTGTGCATGAGTTAAAGCCTCCAGATAAACTTGCACGTGTTTAGTTCTGCTGATGGTTTCTGAGGTGAAGTGAAATCAGGCTTTTGGGATCTTCAGTTTTTCATTTCTTCAGATGACCCACATTCATTCAGCCTGTTAGGGTATATGAACTCACATAACGTGTGCTATTATGCATCAGAAAATCCCCATGAGTATTTTGAAGAGCCATTGCATAATCTCAAGCTTGGTGCTTGATGCACAATGTCTGGATTCTACATCATAGCACGATACTTTCACCAAACTGTTAATGCTTACCAGCATCAGAAAATCCCCATGAGTATTTTGAAGGGCCATTGCATAATCTCAAGCTTGGTGCTTGATGCACAATGTCTGGATTCTACATCATAACACGATACTTTCACCAAACTGTTAATGCTTACCAGGATGTCAGTTTAATCCATTTGTGGATCAACTCACAGAAGATGAATAACTGTATGGATATTTTCAGCAAGATAGAGCAACAGCACATGCTACCATGACCACCTTGTCATTAATGCATGAAATGTTTGGTGAGGAGAGGACAGTCAGTAGAGGCAGTATAATCTCCTGGCCATCTCGATCGCCTAATCTCTCCCACTGTGATTTTTATCTGTGGGGCATAGTGGCCATTTCCAGTGTTTTCTGTAATGGAATGTTCTGTTCATCAGAAAGGGCCTTTCTGTATAAATTTTATAAATATTTTTATGGGCTGGTTTATTTTACCCACCACATATTTGGTTTATTATTCTTTTTTAGAGTGTACAGATGATATAAATTTTTAGACCATCAAACAAAATTAGAGGAATTATTTTACTGGGTATAAAATTTCACAAAATCAGATCTCGTAATCAGTGTGTGAATATGGCATGGCTAACAATATGTTAAATAGTAGCTAGAAAGCAAAACATTGATTTTTATAGAAATTAGTATATTTTTGCTTTTGTAAATAATTGTGGCTAAATTTTTAAAATGCAAGTTTATTATTCTTTTCCATTATTATGATATTTTTTTTTTTTTTCCTGGCATTGCATTTATTGACATTTCTTGATGTTGAGGGTGTGAGTAAAAGTAATCCACTAATATTGTTTCTCATGGAAAATTCATGTATAGAACAAATATACTTATGAAAAAAGAACCAGAATTGTTTACTGCCAAATGTTGCTGTAAAATGCCCACAGAAAATATAAACAATAAATTGGAAACTAAGAAAACTTTAATTGATTAATTTTAAAAGAACTGAATATGAATAAAATATTCTTGTTTATAGTAGCTTCATCTATAAACAAGAATCCAAAGTGGCTTTGTTTTCGGCTACAAGTATTGGACCGTGAATCTTTGGTTTCTAGGCAAGTACAGTAGAAGTCTGACAATCTTGTATTCAGTTGTTAGCCACTCTTTTCACCAGCATTCCTGCTATATGTTAGCATTATTGGCATTTTATTTGGCAATATTTAGAAAGGTTAGGCAGTTGCTTTGTGTTTTTTTGCCATTGTCAATTAGTCTTTTTTCCAAAACTTAGCATTTATAAATTGTTTACATTCTTCATATTTATTTATTTAGAATGTTTTTAAAACTTGATAAAAATATTGACAAGGGAATGACATGGACACATGTGATTTTGACAGTCCACCAAAAGATGGATAATATTAATCCAAGTTTGATTCAAAAAATTATTCAAAACTTAGTATAGATACAGAAATTTTTTTAACTAGAATATGTTGAATTCTAACTTCAGTGTCAAGTAGTTCCAAGCTCAGTTCAATACAAAAGATAAAATTTTCACAAGTACTAATTGTATGAAAACATGTGAATAACTCACAGCTACAGATGCTCGGTGGAAATTGTAGCCAAATTCTATGAGGCAAAATTGTATTGAACAAGGAGAAAATAGTGATGATCTAGTAAACTAACAACCTTCAGTTTTTGAATATCTTCATTTGAAGAATCCATTAGTCATACTTTCAGAAAACATTATTAAATGGATCAAAAGTAATAAAAATGAATCAATTATGAAAGAGGGTTGCTTATAAATACCAAATTCTTAGTTATTATGCCATTATAAGCATTGGTAGTTTTGATGGCATAAAAACAGATACTGATTAAATATAAATTTATTTGCTGATAAGTCTATTGAATAATATATTTGCAGAATTTTGTTTTATTCTTCAACACATTCAGTAATAGTGAAAAAAAAAATCTCTTTGCAACATTATGCAATTTTTGCCTGGTAATCAAGTATCACTGAAGACATGAACTTGACAGATTATTGGACTTCTGACATATTTTACTGAGTAAAATATAAGCTTGTTTTGGATCCAAGTGCTAAATCACATCTGTTCTTTGAGCAAGTCAGATTGTTATAGGTTTTACATATTTTGTTATTAATCTGATCATAAGTGCTTTGTTTAACAGTAATATTTATTTATTTATTATCTAATAAAAATTCATCCAGTATTGTAATGAATATTCATATTTAAGATTATTTATTTTATACTTAGTATATATGGTGATTCAAAGCTAATGGTGCAAAATAAAATCTTATTTGCTGTTTATATTAAATGACATATCACAACAGTATTGACCCAAAATGAAGATGCCAATTTTAGATTTTCTTACATCATCATAACAAGGTTTGATTGCAAGTACCATTTACGGAAAGATATCAGTGAAGCACTGGCATTAATTTCTAAGGATAGGTTGGGGTATGTTTGAGAAACTATGTCACCAGTCATGCCTATTCCATATTAAACATCTGTAATCTGATGCTTGGATAAGTGATTTTTCGCTTGATGTTAATATGGTTATAACGTGTTGTGGGGAAAAAAAGGTCTTGCTTTGCATCATTACTTTTGAATTATTCTACATCCACAGTGTTCAAAAGTCATTATATGACCTTTATTTTTGTGACCGTTGGTTGTAAACATATACTTTTAATTACAAAAATGTTTTAGATGATGCAAATATTCGTTTTTTGGTATTTCTAGATTTTAAAAACTCAATTTTGTAAAAATTGTGAAATCAAACATTATATACAGACCTCTAATCCTTTTAGTTTTAGGAACATTTTAAGTAATTATAAACGACACACAAAAAAGCAGACTTCTGTAAGTTGAAAAATTGACCAAACTATTTAACATAAAAATTTGTGTTTTTCGATTTTATTTCTGCTTGCACTGAAGGGTCTGTTAAAAAAAATAATTCAAGGTTGATTTTTCCCCTTAAATGACATTTATTAATATTCTTTAGTAATTTACTATTATGTTATATTCTTTAATTCATAATTTTATTACAATTTGTATACCCAAAAAATTTTCTCATGGAGCTTTCATTCTTTAGAATTACAGTCTAATAATCATACACAAAATTCAATAAACTTGAGATATTTTTCATTTTGAATTTATGCAAATAATATTTGTAATTGGTAGATTTAGCTATGCGCCAATACCTACCAATGTTTTCTAGAACATAAATTATACATTTATATATATATAAACAAAAAGTAAGAAATTTGGAACGAATTTTACACAAAGACCCAAAAGAACTGAAACTCAATACCAATAAATATGCAAAATAAAAATTAAATGTGCAACTAAAACCTAAAAATTATAAAAGCCTGAAAAAATATATCAAAGCCAGAAAAAATATAAAAGAAGAAGAATTCCATCAAATTTGATATAATGTTATCAAGAGGAGGAATAATTATGTTTTTAAATTAAAAAAAGTTTTTTACACTATATATGTTTGACATGATATGAAAGATTTGGAATTTGGCAGTGTCATGTAGATGCATAGCAAAGAAACTTGGCAAGACAGACATGACCAGATTCAAGATAATTTTATTATTGAAAAAACAATCCTCGATTCGCATTATTTGGTTCACATACAGGATGGGTGTTTTATGCACTCTAAATTTTTGTTAACTGACACATATTCAGTTAACAAAGAAGGCAGCAGCAAAGTGTAAGCAAAAAAAAAAAAAAAAAAAAAATGATGCAGCAATTTAGAGGAAGAAGAGAGGGAGTCGAAAATTTCAGTTCAATTTAAAAAAGTTTTGGTTTACAATTTGGTGATTGGGCAGGAGGTATCTACATTAAGCGTTATGCAGGATTACATGATTAATTTGAATGATGCAGTTTAGACTTATAGCGCTATTTTTAAGATAGAGAGAGGAAGTCCCCAAATTAAATAAAAAAAAAATAAAAGAGGTTATAGAGTTAAGTTTGCTTTCATATTTTTAATCTTGCACAAGATATAACAATATATGATGGCTGCTTTAAAAATAATTGGCGACCTTATTCTTGATTTGGTGCTCTCTCTTTAAATTCATCTGTTCTCCCAAATTCGAGATCTTTCCATGTTATATAACACTTTAAAAAAGGTAACTAAAATTAACCAATCGTACATCTCTACAGTTACAATTACATAACCATCAACCAATCTCTACAATTGCATCTATTTCAGTATAAATACTGCTTGTAAGTTAATTACGTCATTTCTTTCCCTAGCTTCTACCCTGCTAACATATTCGCTCTGCTTCACTTCTGAGGTGCCCAAGCCCACACAAAAAATTATCGTATTGAAATATCATTGAATAAATCCCTTGGCTACAAAATGACCTGGTGGGAATTATAATGGAATAAAATTATGTTCTGAAATGGCTACATCTGGGAGTTTGTGGTTTATGCCTCCATCAATCTAACTGCGTAGACTTATCTGCAGCACATCAAAAATATCTATCCCAGGCCGTGACGACTGCAAGCTGTGAAAGTATCCGACTCCTTCTACATATTAAATTATTACATGTGTGTGTATATCAATTAGTACTTTTCATGGCAATCTATATAACAGTGCACATAACTTAATCTATTAACATCAGAAACATTTTTTAAACTAATTTTTTATTTTTTATGTAGGAACATTTTGCTGTTCAGTTTGTATATGATCTCAGTCTTTAAAATTAAATATCTCAGTCAGTTTTTATTGTGCAGTAAAAAGTATTTATATTTGACACTGTTTTATCATGCTTATGTGTACAAGCTGTTTCATAGTTAATGGTATACAAAATAAAATCTTATTTATTCTTTGTATAGAATGACATACCACAAGAAGACTGATTTTTTTTTCAATATTGTTGTGATATGTCATTCTGTATAAAAATAAAATACAAAAACTTTTCATATTTTTTTAATATAAATATCTCCTAAATATATGTATTGAAAAACTGCATGAATAATTAGGTTTTGTAATTTTTATAAAATTGATTTTTTTAATTAAAAAAGTGTCAAAACATGACTATTTGCTTCATTTAAAACACTTCTTTGCAGCTGGAAGTATATGTATACAACTAATGGTTGAGGGGAGGCATATAAGTATTTTCTGTGTATATGGTGTGTATTATATTTGAATATGCCTTAAATTTTAACATTTGAAATGGTATATTATGTGTTTGAGTGTAGTGGTTCTGAATAAATATGAGTTATGTATATGACCCCTGAATATGATCTCAGTTAGTTTTTGTTGTGTTGTAAAAAATATTTATATTTGGCATTGTTTGTTTTATCATGCATATGTTTACAGGAAGTCTAATGTTTTAACATATTCTTCTAGATGGTGAAAGCTATACAAGTTCTCAGAATTCATCTCTTAGAACTGGAAAAAGTTCAAGAATTATGTAAAGATTTTTGTAATCGCTACATTGCATGTTTAAAAAACAAAATGCAAAGTGAAAATTTATTGAGGCCTGATTATCCTGGTTTGGGAAATAACATTCCAAGCTCTGGCTCCAGTACTCCATCCAGTGGAGGAAGTAGTTCACAACCTCTTCCTGTAAGTATAATTTAGGCTTGAATCTTACATTCGTGTGAATTTCTGCAAACTTTATTTCAGTAAAGTAATTGTCTTTTATATATTAAATTGTATGAATTTGATTGCAGGTGACTGGGACTAATGGTACACTAAATAACTATGTGTTGCAGTCTGGAGTCTCACCTAATCCTATGCCTGTAAATAATCTCAATCAAAGCCAAATTGTATCTGGTGGAAATCTGTACCAAATGGTTCAGACTCCGCAAGGAATAATGGCACAGCCCATACAGGTTTTATAACTTTCTAAAATAAATTTTAATCATTTAAAATAATACATTAATCATTACTGAACTGCTTTATTTTCCATAACTAAATTCATTGAGAGCAAACTGTTAAACAAAGATTCTATACGAAATCCGTTATAGTATTACCCCAACTCACAGGAACTCAAATTTATGTAGTTAAGTATTCATAAGAAAAACATATAACAATTGCAAGCTTGAAATCTGGACTCAGTTGAAAAAGGGTTACAAATTGTGGAAAGCATATTCAAATGAGAAATGCATGCTAGCTGGAAAAAAAAAAAATTAAAGCTTGCTGTAGAAATTTTGTGTGAGTAAAAAAAAAATTATTGAGTTATTAGGCAAGTTTATTAAATTTAATGAAGCTTTCAGCATCAACATAACTGTTATGTATTTATTTTAATTCTATTTGGTATTGATATATAAAAAACTGCATGCTTTATTAGGTATTTTTCATCTAAACAAGTTTTTCTTTTGAGGCTCTTGGTCCTATTTGACTAAAATTCCAATGTAAACTGTGCAAAAGAAAAAGGGAGTGACAGTTTTATAGCTCCTGTTCTACTGGGCCGATTCAAGAAATTCAAATTGTGTTTTTCATGTCTCGAAAGCGTAACTTCAGATAGCATTGTTCTAACATATGTATTTTGACACAAAATCGGATTTTTTCTCAAAAAACATACCAATTTTTTTACATATTTTGATTCTATGACTCAAATTATGCCTAAATATTATATTTTGTAAAATTTGGGGCAAAATTTATGGAGAACTTCAAAAATTTATCTTGGCACATATTTTTCAGATGTGCCACGAATACTTGACGAACTTCTAAATATAAGGCGGCCTATTTTCCTTTCCCTTCCATTGTGCAGGAACAGAAAAAAGTCTCATCATTCCTACCTTTTTACATTGTACATGAGCGGGAAAAAAATTACATCATTCTTACTTTCAAATAATTTGAACAAAGTGCCTAAACCACATTTGATGTTATTATCGCTTTCAACAAATATGCGAAATTTCAGAATGTGCCAATGTATAAATTCACATATATCTTCAGAAATTTTGAATAAAAAACTGTAATTTCTTGTAGGAATGCTTAGGAATACACCTACTTTAAGATAATGGTAAAAATTTTATAGACTGTAATTCAAAATTTTTTTCGAAAAATTTATAAAAATTATTTTAAAACACAAATTTTAAAAATAAATCATAAAAAATGGACGAATGTTATTTGAAATGAACCTAAATTTCCAAATGTGAAAGGAAGAAAAAAGATATCAATAAATATGTACCAAATTCAATTAACATTGAGAAGCTAATTTTTTAAAAACTACTCATGCGATTTTTACAGAATTTGACGGTATGGCATAATTTGAGTCGTAGAATTGAAGTATGGAAAAAATGGCAGTTCATTTCGGAAAAAGTCCGATTTTGTGTCAAAATACCATATTAGAACAATGCTATGTATAAATCTAATACATATCCTAATTTGTGCTTTCGAGATATGAAAAGCGCAAGTTGAATTTTGTCAATTGGCCCAGTCAGTAGAACTGGAGATACAGAACTGTCCTTTTTTGGGGGGAAGGGGCGCAGTGTACTAGTTTGCAAGGTAAGACCCTGATATACATGAATCTAACTTAGGTGCTATTTGGCAATCCCATATATCACATAACTTTGGGGTATTGCTATTTATTTAAATCTAGTGTATACGAATTTTTAAAATCTATTTTGTAATATGTTGATTGCAGCATTACATAATTGCTTTATGCAGGATGTCCCAACTTATTGTTTACACTCGTCGATTATTAATAGCAGAAATGTTGTCAATGATAAATATTAGCATCTTTTATATGTCATATGCCTTAAAGTTAGATATATTTAAAACGGGAGCTTTGTACAGCAATATATCATCTATAACAAGCAGTTCAGGAGAAGTGATCAATAGTAGATATCATTCCAGTTGGAGAGAAAGCTCAGATAATTTTTCTTATATTCATGACTTATGCATTGAAAATCTATTAATTTTGTATCCACACTTCATCACTGTTATTCTCCTGTTTCTGTATCGTCGTTTTTTCAGATCACACACAGTTCATCTCTCTGAAAGCTTGTTGTGTAATCTCATATCTATTGCATACGTAACTGTGGCAGAGTATCAAATTCTATCCTTCAATTATCTTTGCACATCATATTCTCAGTTTCTTCAGAGACACCTTGAAATTCACACAAATTGCTTGAAAGGAAACACATGCTCACTTCTCCTGTTTAGTATATTCAGATAATTGCTTCCTTGATATAAGGTTTATGGATTCTAATTGTCTCTGTAATTATTTGTAATTTAAAATATTTGTTTTAAATATAGATTTAGTGATATTTCTGCTTGAATAATGAAATGAAAATTTCTAACTAATTATGCATATAATTTTACGAGAAGTATTTTAAATCATTAAATTTTCCATACTTATGGATTTTAAATTGAATGAAATTAAGTACATTTAATGATTAATTAAAATACCTTTACATTTTAAAAATTTAATTTTTACATTTTGTGCATTTCCTTTGTGAAAATTTTGCTTTAGGTTGGAGTCTATGCATATATATTTGTCATGTGTTCCAGTGCCTAACTGCCTACAGCCAGTTAGCTCCTTTCCCACTGCCTGCAGAGGAGAAGGGGGGAATGTGAAGAGCTGGCATGGGAATTATAGTTAGTTGAGTTTAACTTTGGGTTACTTTTGTAGGATGTTAATACAATACCTAGGTGCAATTTTTTTTACAATGATTGATGAATATATATATATATATGATTAAAGATCTAAAAATGATTCCTCAGATGTGGTATAATTTGGTTTCCCATCTCAACATAGCAGTGTTTGTTCATATATTATCTGCTTTTGAAATGTTCTGCCATTTTTCTGTTAAAGATTTTTTAAAAATAACTGTATGTAGTTGTATATTATTTAATACGCCTTTAATTTTATAAAACCTTTCACTCAGCAATTCATCTTTTGAAAATAAAAATAAATTAAAAAAATATTGAAAGGTTTCAGATTTTATATTACGCCCAAAGAGGCTTTCTTTAATGTTTTGTGCGTAACCTTTATTTATTAAATATCATGCTCTTTGCACTTAAACCATAAAATCAGTTCAACAGTAATATCACAAAATATTTAAAACAGCATATCTCTAGAATTTCCGATACACACTCTAGCATACTGGGGATAAAAATGTTTTTTTCCCCTGTACAGTGTTGCCAAAGCTTACTTTGAAATCATTGACTTTCTTAATCAAAAACTCATAAATGCCTTACAAAATATGAAATAGATAATAAAACAAATTCCAAATTTGGGCTTCCAAATGCCTGTGTTCAGGTGTAGACATACGTTATTCAAAATTTGGTGGTTTTAGGTACCGTTGTTTTATCACAATGCAAGAAACATACATACATTTATGCAGATTGTTCATTATTTAATTTCTTCAAATATAACATAGGGCTTTAATATTTGGTGTTAACAATTTAGAAAAGTGGTTTGCCCATTATAGTGAATCAACACAAAATGCCAAAATGAAATTAATAACCCTTCTGGGCAAATTGCTCCTTTGGGCTAAAAAAATATTGAAAATTGTCCACATTTTCCCATTAGGAATACAAGTACTGTTTGATAACCTAGTATTACTTGGCTATGTGCAATAGCAAAGTTTGTGCCTCTCAGGGGCAAAATTTGTATTTTGAGTAGTATCTTACTTAGGAACTCTTGCAGTGCAGATTACTGTTAGACGTGAATTAAAGACAGAGTATTCCTACATATAAATTTGTCATTGTTTGGGGCAGGGTGTTATCATTTGCTTAATAAATATTTTTAAGTTTATTGTCTCACTTGAACTGAATACTTAATGATACTAAGAGGGTGTTACTGAATTAGACCTTAAAAAAATAATTTTATCTGGTGTTTTCCATTATGAAAAGTATTTAGAAGACTTTGTAATGTGTTTGTAGTTGATAATTTTTAAAACTTGTTTATATTTATTACAATAAATTGAGTTTTCCCCTATTTAATGTACATTAGGTAAATCCCAGCTCCAGTGCTCATATAGTTCATGGAAGCACACCTTTATCACAGATAGGCGCTACAACTGTTTCTCATGATTCAAGGATACAAGCTATTGGTATATATTTTTTTTGGTAATTTTTTTTTCCAATTGTTAAAAGAAGCAAGAAGGCTTTTTCTTACATAAAATAATTTTTCTTATTTTTAAGCACCCAGGCCTTCTCTTTTACACAGTGGAGATGATGATGATGATGAGCTTATGAGTAAAAAGAAACAAAAGAGAGGTGTTTTACCAAAACATGCTACAAGTATAATGAGGTCTTGGTTATTCCAACACATAGTGGTAATTTTTATTTCAATTTTCTAATTTTCAAAAAAGCGAGAGCATTTGTACTTACCATTATTTTCTGTAAAATTTAATTTTGTATACAGTACAAAGTCCCAGATCCGGACTCGTTGCGACTTATGCAATTCCGGATTTGGGATTTTTCTGTTTATTAGATCATTAGTTTAACTCAAGTAAAATGACGTGTAGAAATAATAAAATTAAAAATATGAAATTGTAATTTATGAAATAATGAAGTATTTTTGATCTAAAGGGTATCAAAATTTACACAAAAAGTAAAAAATAAATTAATAAGGTAAAAAAATGTAATAAAGTTTATTAAATAGTTTAATAAAAAATATTAATTTTTTACTATTTTATTTTAAAGTAAAAAAAAATAAATATTTTTTACTTTGTTAAACATTTCTTTCAAGTTGTTGCTGCATTTTTTGGGCTAATATTTTCTCTTTAATTCTATAGATGGACGTAATTTTTTATTCAGTTACAAAGTTCCATGGTTGAAGTCCTGTAATTGCTGTCTCTAGAATTCTGACTAACGGCAATCGAAATACATATTTGGGCTATGTATTATGAGATTGCTCTCTGAAGACAAGTTGTTCCGCTAAATTGTATCTTGCTTCTATCGCGCACTGAGACAATTAAGCCTGAATTTTAGTAGTTATTTATTATACTTACACCTATTTCTTGCACATGCTTAATACTTATCTAAGTTCTGAATAAATAAATTCCCACATGTACTTAAGGCTTATTGAGGGCTGGCACCTGATGCAGTCTCTGTAGCTTCTAAATTCTGCTACTAAGCTCCTCCCTTTGTCTTCCCTAAATTCTGCCACCTGGTGCAGCCATATGAACTCTGGTGCTGGTTCTGAGTTTATGTGAATAACAAATCAGTTATTCTTAATTCAGATAGCACTAAATGTAATTTTTTGGCCTATCAGAATCATTAACAAAGTCAACTTTTAGCACATGGAAAGAAATTTTTGTTAAATTTTTCCTGTCAACATTTCTCACCGCTTTTAACTTAAATCTGTAATCATCGCCAAGCGTAATGTCAGCATAAAAGTTACCATGCAGTTTCTGAATTACTAATATAAAAAAAAAATTGTTTAATTATTGCGGCATGAGTCATTACCCAAGTTGTCATGTGCTGATAAACATGCGAGGATGAAGGCAAAATATAATAATAATAAATAATAAAATATAATAAAAATAATAAAATAAATACTGATTCATCAGGTTGGTGTCAGAGGTATAAAATATTAGTAAGATGTAATAGAATGTTTTGGTTTGAGATGTAAAAAAAGACGGCAGCTACGGAGCCAAATTATTGATCATACAAATTTATGCTAAAATGATTGTTTCTTCAATAATGAGGTATTTTATTTAATGCTCAAGTGAAATTAAGAATCGGAATTCTCCACATGGTTTATTATACACGGGGAGAATGAAATTGAATTACAAATAAATGATTAATTATTGCTGCGAACTAATCTACAATATCTACAATAAAATCTGAGAGCATATGTAAATCAAGGGCAAGTATCAAAATCTATGAAAAAATATATAATTCTAAAAAATTTTTTAATCCTAAAAGTTTATAAAAATGCATAAGTGAATAATTGTAGAGCAGGTAGGAGACGGACTTATCAAGGGAAAGTTGCCTCCAAACCTAACTCTTCAATTATTCAATTCATGTTTCATCATCCATGTAGGCAAGGGTAAAGGTAAAATTATATATTTTTTCCTAGATTTTGATACTTGCACTTGATTTACATATGCTCAAAGAATTTTAATGATATTGTAGATTAGTTCACAGTAATAATTAATGATTTATTTGTAATTCAATTTCATTTAAAATTTAATTAACTTTTTCACAAATAGAGGATGTTTGTTAAATTCAGATTTCATTCTTTGCAGCAATGGAGCAAAAGAATTATTTAAATTTAATTTAACTTTGCTATTTATTCTTTTGAAACTATATGTATATAATAAAATTTAGAAAAAAAGGTCAGTAGTGGCCTTTGATGTCCGGATTTTAGATCATTCCGGATATTGGACGTCAGGATCTCGGACTTTGTAGTGTATCAGATTCATTTTAATAATACATTATTAGAAGGCCTATTTGAGTTTATAAATTTTCAGGAGCTGCATGTTTTTTCGAGAGTTATTGTACTTAAATTCTTACAGACATTTTTCTAATGGTTTTTTTAAAAGTTGCTTTACTTTCTTTTGTAGCATCCTTATCCTACAGAAGATGAAAAGAAACAAATTGCTCACCAGACGAATTTGACCCTACTTCAGGTCAATAATTGGTATGACATTTGTATACATCTATATCTGACATAGGACTGCATTACTGGAAATCAGTCTTGTTTTAAAATTTTTAAACAATATGTATTCCTTTCTCCTTTTTTTTCAAAAAAAAAAAAAAAAAATCTAAGTAACTGTAATGTGTATAACTAGGTTTATCAATGCAAGACGGAGGATTCTGCAGCCAATGCTAGATGCAAGTAATCCAGAGACCAATCATAAATCTAAAAAATCTAAAACACAATCAAATCGACCGGTACAGAGGTTTTGGCCAGAAAACATTGCTTCAATTCAACCTCAGCTTCAGAATCCAAATGAATCAGAAGATAGCCCAAATGGTGAAAGCAATCAAATCAGTAGTTCTGGAGATGTTCAGGCGAGCACTTCAGGTAATATCATCTTTTTTGGTACTCTATTAGCTAACTAGGCATATAATAATTTTGAAGTTTTATACTTTGTTCTTGCATTTAATGTGCATCAACTAGAAGGTAATTATTTGACTTTGCTAGTATTAAATTAATCAGCATTTCTTAAAAAGAATTGTTCCCTCTCAAAGCTTACTTGCTTGTTTGTATTTGATATAATGATACTTCAATAAAAGATATTCTGTATTCTTGAATTTGTGAATATATGGCATGGTTCCAGTTTTAAAGCAGTGAATGTTTTGTTAAAAAATAGTATCTGGATGATTTGAATTTTAGAGAGAAAAGTGAAGAAAATATAAGAAGCATTATAGCAAAGCCTGTGGAAATCCAGAGCTCAGACTAGAACTTATAAGCCTTGTTCGCATGCAGTTCTCTTTTGCACAGCTGTATTCAGCAATTTCAGAATATTATTGTTTGCACCATAAGGCTAGTGGAGAGAAAAAAAATAAATGAAATTTTTAACATAATTTTTTTTTTTTTTTTACCATATATACCCGCGTATAAGTCGACCCCCCACTTCCGAAATCGATCGAGAAACTTTGAAAATTTTTTTTTAAATACTACATTTATTCAAAATCATCTGAGAAAAAAAAGTAAATATACGATAAAAAGTACCTTGGTAAATAAACAAAATCAAAATCCTTCAATGTCCGATTCATGGTCAGATTCGCCAAACATTTCATAGAACTCTTCTGTCGTCATTGGCTCGTCATCATACATATTTTCAGTCTCGAACTCTGTATTGTTACAATCACTACTAGAGCCTTCGTCGTCATTTTCACTTTCAAAACAATATCATCTTCCGTGCTGTCTAGTTCGTTGCTAATACAACATTTTTAAAATGATTTTATAATCATTTCAGAGGAACTCTGTGATTAGTTCATTACATAATTTAAGTCATGAAATTACTTCAAGTAAATGACTTATCTGATAAGTCGTCCAATTTGAGTGCGGGAAGAAAACAACTGCATTATATAAAAAAATTTTTGAACTTCCGATTCTTTTAATTTTTTATGGCCCCGCATATAAGTCGACCCCCCCCCCCACTTTGAAGTCTTTTTTTTTTTTTGTCCAAAATATCTTGACTTATACGCGGGTATATACGGTAATTTTTTTAATTTGCTCGAATTTTTAGACTTTTTGGCACCCATTAATTTTAAAATTTCATATCTAAAAATATATCAGTTACAAACTTTCTAAATTTTTACAGGTTATAAAACAAACTTTTTGCATTTAAAAAAATGATAAAGGGCATTAATTGGATGATTTTTTACTTTTTTAAAAGGTATACAATTGAAGCAGAATTGAAAATATTGGTTCTTCTTGGGCACAGCTTTGAAACATCAGTTTCAAAGTAGTCTCGTTACATTACACTATTTCATATCACATTTTTTATACTATATAAGTTGTTGGTTCAGCGTAAGGTCGGAGATGTTTCCTAGTTAGCTTTATCTTTAGATGAACTTTGCATTGCATTGTGTTTAATGTTTTTAGCAGTTTGTGTGGGCCAGATTTTTGAAAAAGTATCTAGTGTTCTAATAATTCTCAATAATGCACATTTTGTGCCAGATATGAATGGCAAATTACTGCAGGTTTCAGAGGCCTTTAAAGAATGAAAAAAAAATTTGTTAACAAAAGAAATAACATATGTTTTGGCTATCATAATAGCTGTGGCCAATATATCAGTAATTTTGTGCCTGACTATGAATTTTTAATACTTTCAAAAGACAGTCACACTAATTTGTGGCATCATATACTTTACTATTTGGGTCCTGTACTCAAGAAACTGGAACTTCTTTCTTCATTCTGTGACTTATATGCTTTTGCCAAACAGATTGCTATATTACTGGGAAAGAGGCCAAGATGCAGAGACATAAAACCAATGGTTACAATACATACAGATATAGGTGGTCCAATTACACCAACTACATAAGAAGGTGCAAATTTTGTCATGACTATCATTAGTGACTTTTCATGCTTTAGTGAAGTTTGCTTACTTAAAAGACAAAGAGTTGTTCTAGATAAGATGAAAACTTTCCTGAAATCAAATCCTTCTGTAAGGAAAATTAGATATGAGGACTAGTTTCCATTCTTTAATATTCCTTGGTATCTAAAATTAGATACCAAGGAATATTTATTAACTTAAAGATACTTAAATATAACTTAAATACTAACTTAAAGAAACAGCTAAAGGGAAATTAGTGTACTCAAAATGCAACAAGATTTCTCATTTGTATACATACATAGATACAGATTGTGGGCGAACTCGAATGATAGGAAATCAATTTCTGGCTATGTTATCATGTTAAATGATTTTTCTGTACTCTGGTAGTATTAAAAGCAAAATTGTAATTTATCATCAATGAAAGCTGATGCTGTTGTTTTAGGAAAAGGTATGCAAGATTTATAGTGGCTAAAATCCATAATGAGTGAAATCATTGAATCATTCCAAGTGTAAACTAAATGAACATTTTCTTTTGTGTTGTTTAGAGTTAAACAAACATTTCCTTTTGTGCTGTTTAAAGTTATCTTAATTTTGCTTTGAGTGTGTAATTAAAGGTGGAAGTTGTGGATATAATCACATCCCCTGTTATATGTTATTATTATTATTTTACGTTTTAAAATAATGGGTAAAATATTTATAGCTCTCATCCAAGTTCACTTAATTTTACCAAGATTGACTGCTGGAATTGGTTTGCTATGCATTTATAAATGAGCATGCAGTCAGTCAGGTATGTACAGAGATATGAACAGAATAGAACATGTAGCAGTGGCTGTTTTTATTATGCCAAGTATTTCATGTTGTTTTTATATGTTTTCTTATGCATATTTGAAATAAAGCTTTATTTTCAATCCAATAGACCTCAGAGTTATTTATTGCATAAGAAGGAAAAAATATTTCAAATTTTAGAATAACACACTGAACAGGAAATAATGACTTTATGTAATTGAATAAGTAGATAGAAATGGGAATTAAGAGTGTTGATTTTCTTTGCTATGACTGGACACTTTCTCAGAGGTGTTTGTTAGGAGTAGCTGAACCTGTCATTTAGCCATTACTAAGAATATTTAGACATATATCATTATATCTGTAAGAAGAAAGACAAAAAAGCAGAACACACACATACAGCCGGTTCTTATTTTGGAACTGAGCATAAGCTTGTTTGTTTCGAGCTAACAATCTTGCTTCTGTTAACCATTATATCTTCCAGGAAAGCATTCGAGCATTATAAAGTCTTTAAACAGATTATTATGATATAAATGTTTGAAAATATGATAAATAATTTTTTATACTTCAAAATGTCCCCTAAAACTGTATGCTGTATTCACTTTATTTATTTATTTTTTCCTACTTTTTCTTTTGGTCTAATCTAATGACTTTTATTTTATGATATAAATTCTGAAAACTAAAATATTCACAACATTTTGCCCAAATCTGTATGAATTTTTGTTCTTCTGTATATCTAGTGCTTTACAATTGTATTTTTTAACCAATATTGCATACAAGTTTCAATACTATATTTGAAAACTTTAGGTTTGAATATAAATCAGCAATGCAATCATTACACTGCTGCTAGCAGTACGACTCCAGAAATGGGCCATTCCTCTCCCGATGGAAATATAAGCCAAAATTGTTCTGATGGTGAAGTCAATAAGGTCCCTTCTATTGGCAGCTTGGAGGAACTCAGCATGAGTTGTAATACAACTACTGATGAAGAAAATGATGATGACAAGCGATAGTTGTTGTGAGATCATACATATTTCAATTAGCATTTTGCATTGGATACAGCTAATTCTGAATTGTAATTGCTCTAATATATATGTTACTGTTTTGATGTTGAATTTTACTCTAAAACTTTTTGGAAGCTTATTTGACTTAATATTAGTCAAAAATTATGACAGTTTTGATTTCAGTTAATTGAAAATTTTAGTCATCAAATGTATTTACATATTTTAATTTTTATTTAAAACAAAAATAAATGTTAGCCCAGGTGTAAAAAAGATATTTGCCTTTTTACCCCTCCTAATTTTTTGATAAGTGAAATTTGTTGATTTCTTTATTTTTTAAACTGTTATTTATTGGTACAAATATATATTTTAAATGTATTTTTTCTCGTATTATATTTATTTTCCCAAAATATATTTAAAAAAATATTTTAGGTTGTTATTTTGTAAAAAGTATTTAAAAATTATTTGAAAACATTCTAAGCATTGCATATTTCAATTTATATTACAAGTTTGTCTACTTTTCCTAAACATTTAACTGCATAAAGCTGCATGAATATTAAAAACATTTATCAGTTTTTTTTTTAAATGTTTTGTCTATTGAGCTAATATATGTAAATTTTGAAGGCTGAGAATGTAAAATAATTAGGTTATTATAATTAATTTTGAGTAATCTATCTAGAAGAACAAAGGGTACTAAAAAAATATATATATATGCAGTACAAAGTCCGTAATCTGGACGTCCACTTTTCCGGAATGATCTATAATCCGGGCCTCAAAGGTTACAAACTTTTTTTTGTATGCTTTACGCATGTGCGTAGAGAATGTGCTCGCATACATTACGCGCATTACGCATGCACGCATTGAAAGAAATGTTTAATAAAGTAAACAAGTAAATATTAAGCTTTTTTTTTTTTTTTTTTTTTTTTTTTTTTTTTTTTTTTTTTTTTTGTAAAATTTGATACCCTTTAGATCGTAATTGCTCTTTATTTCATAAATTACGGTTTCATATTTTAAATTGTATAATTTCTGCATGCCATCTTACCAGATTTAAATTGATGATCTATAATCCAGAATTGCTGAAGTCCCAACGAGTCCGGATTACGGACTTTAGACTTTGTACTGTATATAATTCTTAGGGCAATTTATTGTGTTCTTTTTGCATTTTTTAAGAGAGTTTTGAAAATAATGATTTTTTTATAGTTAATTTTGTATTTCTGATCCTTTGTTTGTTAAGCTTTAATGCATTTTAAAAGTTATCATCACTATTTGAAATATAAAATACTCTTTTTGCCCTTTAAGTAAATTTTAAAGCTATAATTAAGTGATATTAATTTTCTGTCTTATGAGTATACATTTTCATTACACATGAAAAATATTATCCTAAAGATGAAATATTGTCATATGTGTCATTTTTGCATGTATTTCATATGTAATTAATTTCTTTTAACAATGATTTTTTTCTCCTGAAACCAAAATGTTTTTATATTAAAATTTCACTTTTCCTTCCTAAATGCAATTTATGATATATGTTCCTTGCTATTGTAGTCATTGCAGTATATCTTCTTGTAAGCCGCAGAATTAAATTTCATTTGTAGTGCTTTACAATAATGAATATAAAGATGTTTTGTTGAATCAAGAAATCAAAGGGAGCTGAAATACATTCTTTAATATACAGAAGCAACTACATGATTGTTTCAATTAATATGCAAATGATTAAAATATCTCCTAACTATATACCTAGTTACATAATTTTTGTGTTGTACTTTCTCTGCATTCAAAATTGAAGGATACTATACAATTACTTAATGATTGGTATTAATTATATGGATATTTAAGCCTAATGTCCACATAAGTGATGTATATATGTGCATATGAAGTACATATAAATCATTGAAAAGAACATTATTTAGTTTTTATGTATAGAATGATACATGGCAGTTTCTGGTATGCTGTACGGAAAAAAGATGTGTGCAATTTTAATGTGTCATACCAATGAAACTTTTCAGGAAAAAAAATTCAGACATGAGAACCATAAATTATCAGAGTATAGTCATAATTCATTTGGATAGGGAAGAACTAAAATATATTCTGGAAAAATATCTCTTTGTATTTTACCAATTCTAAAATATTAACATTCCTCATACTATGTGTTTTATTTTCTTGCTATTGTGTACTGTTAACATTGTTATTTTTCTCGGTATTTTCAGTAGAAGGAAAATTGTTATATAATTTTTCTTCTCTTTGCCAGTTAAATATCTGATTGTTAATATGTTTGTGGTGAATTTTTGCTCTTTTGAAATTATAACATTATACTTAGCTATGATCATTGTAAATATGACAAAGTTTCCCCACTCATTGTTTATGATGAAACATATAAACTAATTACTAGTGACTTTTTTACTGTGTCTCAATATGAAATGTAGAATTGAATATCAATATATTTTTAGCACTAAATCTTGATATAAAATCTGATTTAAGAAATTCCTAAACATTTGATACTTACAGAAATAAAAATTATATGTGTATGCAATATATGCCTTTTTCTCAAATCTGCTATAATTATATTTAAAGCCGTTATATATGTACTTGTATATGTACTGTAGCTGACTGTGTGTAACGAACAGTAATCATTATCCTAGAAATGCATTTAAAACTCTCTTCAAAGTTAAAATATATGAAAGGCAAAAGCACGTCTCTGTTACTGTAGGTGAATTTTTCTGTGTACAGTTTAATAATTGCTAGAGAAAGATTGCAGTGAAAATGTCTACAGAATCAACTATTGAAAGCATTTAAGATAGACATGTGCAGAATAGAAATTTGTGATGGAAGATATGTATTACCGTAATTTCCGGAAGAAACGCTGCGGCGTTTACGTGTTTAAAACTTAAATTTTCAGCGGGTGCGGCGTTTCTACCCATGCGGTGTTTAGGTGCACTAAAAATAAAATATTTCCTATGATGGTCATTGTACATAGTTTGGATGGCCTTGTCATTGTGCATAGATTGGTGCTGTTCCCACACAAAAGACCACTCTGTTGCTTTTTGTGAACATTATTTTGTTTACGTTCTTTCCCTTGAACAGACCTACATGCCTTATTCACCCTAAACGAGATCTCAGAACAATAACATTCTTCCCCCTTTCAAATCAACATTCTCATCAGTTTGAATAGTCTCTCTCCTCTGCCATTCGATGAATCTTCCAGGACCCATCCTCTCACCACCCCTGCCTTTTCTGCAATTTTTTTCAAAGGCTGACACGACTCCACCTGCCTCGCAATAACGAACTGTGACATATTTCCCCTTCAGCATGAATGCATTTTTCTTGGCATTCTGCCAAATACAGATTCCATCAGTTAGGGTACAAGTACTTGTTGGATAGTTTTTAATTAGGGAGCGGAAAATTTTTGAAAATGTCTCTAAACGGCACAGAAGCTATACATTTCTTACCTTTAATTTATTTTTGAGTTATGGTTTCATTTCATGCATTTTTCTTAACTGGTATGTCATATATCAGGACTTAGGTTGAGTTTTTGCATCTATACGGCCCACGACGATGTCACGTGCAATTTAATCTATTGCGGCGTTTCTGTATAATTTTAATTTTTTTTCCCCGCCATTTTTCTTGAGTGCGGCGTTTACGCTGATGCGGCCTTTCTTCCGGAAATTATGGTAATAATAATGATCAAATATGTATAAAATATAATTTTTAACATAATATTTTCTCACTTTAATACATTTAAACAACAGGAATATAATCTATAATAAATTAGCTTTTTATTATTTGTATTAACTGTTCGTTTCATACTGTCAGTCTGACAGTGATGAATTTTAAATCGGTGATATTTTTCATAGTTGTGTATCAGCTGCATGCGTTTTCCAGATTGTTTACATTTTTAAGCTACATGCCAACATCGAAGATTTATAATGATTATGTCAAAAATTTAACACACACAGTTATGAAATTCTGAAATATGCATGCTGTGAAAGCTACTTAACTTTTGAATGCCATTGAAAGATGCAAAAATTTGCTGTATATCTTTGCTGTTTTAAATGTACTGTTAGAGTTTGATGACTGTTTAACTGCTGAGTTGAGTGAATTATTGTTAGTTTTCACTTTTAAAATCCTAATAAATAATAAATATAAACGCTCTTATTATTAAAATTAATGATATATGATAATTTGTAAAAACATTGATTATGCGATATACTTGATACTTTTTTTTTTTTTTTTTTTGGTTCTTTCTTTTTTTCATTAAAATAGAAATTTTTTTGGAATAAAATTAAAATGAATGTTAAAAAAATTTGAGATAATATATTAATTGTAACAAATTTTATAATGCACATAATGTTGCATAATTACAAAGCACAGTTAGAGACAACTGTTATGGCCAATTCAGACCTTTTCCCATTGTTTGTCGCTATTGCCATAAGCCATCTTTTTGTAATTTAAATATTTTAATTAATTTTATGTTGCAGAAATGGTTTATTTTCAGAAATTTTTATCACTTTTGAAATTGTATACTATTTTTAGGGGTTTCATAATGCAAAGATAAAAAAAATCCAAAAAAGATGTCCAGTAGACATTGTTTCCTGTAGCTGTTATATTATAATTAAATTTAAAATAAAAACTGGGAAATACCCAGTGCAGTAGCGAGCATAACTGGCGTCCAGGGCAAAATACCTTTTTGGCGCCCCCCCCCCTCTCCCCGATAAAAACACAGTGATATGATGAAAATCTTGTTTGGAGATCATTTGGCACCCCTCTGCGAGCGGCGCCCGGGGCATCATACATCCCATGGCCACCCCCTTGCTACGCCACTGGATGTACCCTTTTTTGGTGGAAAGCCAAAAAAGTCTATTTTGACATGTATATAAAATCAAAAACATGTATTTTTGTTTATACAAAAGTTTTTAAAAAGTTTGCAAGTCAGACCTGAGTATGAATTTCTGTCTTTATATAATACTGGACTTCATATTTTTTTTATTAGTTGTATTTTCCTTTATAAACTTTTGTGATATTTTTTTGGCAGCTTATTTTACATTTTTTTAATTTGTAAATTGGGATTTTTCCTGTTGTTAAAATGTATTGCTATTAAGTTAGGAATTATGTTTATCAAATTAATTTACATATATAATGAACCCTTTCTGAGTGACCACCTAAATATGAGCATTGTTTCCAAGAACAGATGTGAACATCACTTCTATATAACAACAACTTTCATGTAGGTTAAAATTATCTGCAACCAGGATTGATTGTCTTAGAGGAAGGGTCCATCATAGTCCCTCTCTCTAAAAAATCAAATCCCTCAAATACTTATTTATCTGCGAATAAGCGTTTGAAAGGCCTCTAAATATTTTATTTTGCATATTTAGTAATAACTTATAGAAGACTTTTGAAAAATTCAGAAATTATGCTTATCTTTGAAAGATAAGAATTATGCTGCAGACTAAAAATCGTGCTCTCTCTATCTCACAAAAGCCTAGTTCTGCCACTAAATCGTAGTTTCTCAGTATGGATGCTATCTCCCTTCAGTCAGCGTTGAGGGAGCATTACTGATCTGAGATCCATAGGAGGAATGAGAAGAAAGTGGGTAATAAAAACATGCTTGGAAAATTTGTCTAAACATTTTTAATATGAATGTTTAAATATTCACTTCAATATACAAATATTGCAGCCATGCATTTTTATGAGAATCATATGAAATTTTGTTAATCAACGCTTCATTCAAAAGGAATTGAAGTAACAAACTGTCAGTCTTAAAGTTCATTACTAGAAATACATTTAGAAGTATTGAATCATTACTGCAGATCATATTTGAAGAACATCTTATGTGTTATTGTAAAATCTATGTGTAACCTATATCATCTTATGTGTTATTGTAAGGAGAGTTTGTGAACCAAAAGTGTTGGAAAACACTGCATTAACTTGCC